AAGCAACGTCTAATTATAAAAAGTATTAGGTAGAAGCCCCTAGGTGAGTCCCGAACTTTAGTATGCTGCACCATTCCAGCCAAGTATGCGAGAGCAGACAAAAGTGAGAGAGACAAACCCCTTGAACTATCCATTAAGCGAAGACCAAGAAGAGGATAAGGTTACTGGACCATCACAAGGCCATGGGTGGAGGGCACATGACCTTGAGCAAGGTTACGGAGCTGTCATGTCACGTAAAAGTCACACCGATTGTTTTCCACTTGTCACGTCGGCGATATCAAACTCTCTTGAGACAAAAGATGTCGTAAAGGGGACTACACTTTTAACACGAACGAAAACAAATATTCCTGAGAACTGACCTTCGATGGAAACGTTAAAATTAAAAACATGCTAATTATTTTTATATATCAATTTAAATATTAAGTAATTGCATTATTATTTTAATACATGCAAATATTTTAAATTTACATAAACAATGAATGAGTCACTTTCAGAAAAGATACAATATACGAAATGCTTCCAGTTTTCCCTTCCAGATGGCACTACCTGTTATTTCTTTCAGTAAAAAAAATAAAATAGTCAGATATTAAATGTAGCGTCATCTGGAANTTTCCGAAAATGTCAGCAAAGTAAAGAGATAGAAGATATATAATTATATTTAAAATATAGTATTTTCTTATTCTTTAGATAACTTTCAGAGTCATTTTAGAAAATTAATCCTTCTTAATCTTTCCATAATATTTTCATCAATAGTCACTTGGACATTTTTATTTTCGCAGCATAATATCGTATTATACACAAAAGCATCCTTTTTGCTTTACACGTGTAACGGACGTATAAACTCTGCTTTATCTTTGCTGCAGCTTACTCTTACTGCAAACGTTTAGAAACAGTTCGCTACGTTTTAGCGCTTCATTTACAAACGCTTTGCTGTGTAACGCTGGCCACATGCAGTTTTCTTCACGTTATTAATCCGGGCCTCCTGCTCTTTAGTTTTCCATATCTGATCTCGACTTTATCTACTACAATATAATATAATATAATAGAAGGGTTAGAGGTACGGAATAGTGTAATAATCTTAATGTTTGTTTTTATTTTTTGCCCAGGCCCGAAATTTAATAATTGTCTCGATGCTATTATTACAGAAACAATGAAAACGATTGCATTGTAAGACCGTTTATTTCGGAATTTATTGTTTAGAATGTCGTAGGCCTGTTAGATTTCGAGTGCCCGGGAGCACGCGTAGAACCCGGGGGCTCAAATTCAAGGATTCTTAATATAGTTACGATATTTATTATTACAGGATTTGCTAGATACTTAGCGCCAGATATACAACAAATTACACGCTCCATCTGACCCAGTTTGGAATGCGATAAGCTGTCCTCGGCGCCAGGTAGGTATTAATCCACCAATCGGCACGAATTTTAGACTCGAAAAAAGGTGTATGGACAAGTTAGAGAACGACCTAAGAGAAAACGACCGACGACGTAACGCTGCTGTTTACAGAGGAGTGCCGAAAAGATAGAAAAACATCGAGGTCTTTGGTCCACGACTGCACTGTATTAATTAAGGGCGAAGAAGCACGAATTTCGTTATTTGAACGATTTCGTCGGTTTCATTACAACACCCTTACAAACACCCCTCGCCGTAACATCCATAAATGAACCATTATCTAGTTTGTTCGTCGCATCCAATCATTTACATACCACGCTTCGTTACCGCAAAACGACACTGTCACATAACACCAAAACTGCTTCCCGAAATCCAAACCCTAGGTCCTGGGAAGTGGAAACGTCACTCGATGTTTTCGAGTGACGGCTAAAGGGCTCTGGTACACTGGATATATACACACTACAGTTGTCTTAATTTTCTCTGTGCAACTTTGTCAACAGAGATGTAAGAGACTAAATGCTAAAACTTTCTAAAGATATTTTCATTGAAAAACACGGATGCTGTGTTTAAATTGTTTCATGAGAATGAAGGAATCATGTAATCTATATATATATATATAGCGAAACAGACAAACAACAAACATCCTCATTTTTATATATAGATATATCAGTTTGAATTGATATATTTACACCTATTCACCTATCAATGCACAGGATAGGCTGCATTTATAGTATATAATGATATGCAAATTATGGTGACATTAGCCACATTGCATGTCAGATAATGGTATTGTTCTGTTATCATTGAATTGCCATTTCATTCAACATGGAAAGATGGAACACAGAACAGTTCAGAACAGATCTATCACAAAAGTGATAAACCTTTATCACATTTGTTATAGAAGCTTATTTCAAAAATAATAATTGATACAGTAGTTGCTACACAATTTATATTCAGGCATCACTTCAACTTGGGTTGTCATGGAAATATACCAGATGCTTGCAGTAAGATAGCTTTGTTCCTTTAGATCCACTGCATCTACCTGTAATCATAAAACAGGACAGAATGAAAGGACTGCAGACACTGTTAATGATTGAAACTGTTCATACTGCAGTTATACAGAACCCAAGAAGATCTGCTTGGTTATGTGCTGTGGCTTTGCAAATTTCAGATTGATCATTTGGGAGAATCTGCAATCAAGATCTTCACTTCCAAGCTTATAAACTCAAGTTGTGGAAGAACTTAAGTTCTAAGATTTGAATGCACACAAACAGTTTTGCACAACCATGTGTGATCTGCTCCTTCAGAATCCAGAAAGTTTACAGTTATTGATAATGTCTGACCAGGAATCATACTCAAAACCAGATGTGTAAATGTCATTCACTCGACTACTATTTGACACTGAATATAAATAAATAAATAACATATGTTCATCTACAAGTATGCTTTAAAATATACTGTGAATGCAGCTGCACCTTGTATTAATCAGATTTCAAGAAAAAAGTTTGGTTAATACTGTATGATTATTGTTGAATTGTGTTTTCACCATCAAGTATTTAATTTCCAGTTCATAGAATTAATTTTACTGTTTGTAAAGAAAGTTCAATAACAATAATTGTAAATGATTACAAACATAGTTATATTCTTTCTCATTGACATTATAAAGAAACAATATTATTCAAGGATCTACTGTACTAATTTTGATGAATCACATTGCATTACATAATGAGTAAAAATTATTGTGACATTGTCTCAATGCCAGGCTGCAATTTTTAATTTATTTAATTTAAAATGTATGCTCTGTATCTGAAATTATTAGTGTTATGACCCTGTACATCATACTTTTCCTGACAACAACAGTCATGTATGTCAGGGGTGGCCAATTTTTTGTACATAAGATCTACTTTTTATCTTAAAAATGTGTTGCGATTGACTTGTTGTCGTAGGCATAGTCTAAGTGGCAAGGGGGAGGTGTGAAATACATACTATGTTTAGATAGGTAAGAAAAGCCACAATTTAATTTAAAACATGAAGAAAAGATACTTACATTTTNCTGTGCCGGGTGAGACGTTGTAGAAACAAAAAAAGTTATGCACTCCATCACGTACATAAACAGTATCGTAATTCGCCAAGTACAAATCAGCAAATTCGTAAAATGTTTGTTTATTTTGAACAATCCGGATAATCGAAAATCCGGATAACAGAGGTCCGGATAATGGAGGTTCTACTGTAGTTAACTTGGCCCTCCTGTCTCTAAGCTTTCCATATCTGGTCTCGACTTTCATCTATCTAACTCATTCAGTTCTCGACATTAAGGGAGGACAGACAGCAGTAGGAGACGACAGTCGGAATTTATAGGCTACCAATTTTTCAAATTGAACATTCGTTGACATTAGGTTTTCGTTGAGTTCCAAAGGAGACTGTAATCAGAAGTGGAGAAATTAAAGTCTATGGAAGAGAGAGAGTTTTACAAATATTTAGGATTCCAACAAAACTGACAGAACATGAACAGATAAACAAAGGTTAACACTCAACTACCAGAACAGATTACATGCAGTACTAAAAACACACCTAAATACAAACATACTATTAAAGTTATTAATACATATGTTGTCCTGTACTCACTTATTCTTTTGGAGTTATGGACATGCACAGATCTCAAGCAACACGAAAGGAAACAAGAACACCACTTACATAAACAATGCCACCCAAAATCAAATCTGTAAAAAACTAACTCTTCCTCATAAAGAAGACGGCCATGGCCTTACTAACATAGTTAACCTGCACTACAAATAAATTCACTGTGGGAGTTTTTGCATGAAAAACAAGAAACATCAAGATTACATAAAGCTATAACTCAGGCATACAGTAACCACACTCTGAGTACCTGAACATAGCTCAACAAAAACAACATACTTAACTTTATGTTGACAAAATGCATTAAACTACTGGCTAACTAGGGGCTGCCTGTTTGGAGAGTTTTATGGTTGCCATTCAAGATCAAGTCATAAACACTAAAAACTCATCCTGGAGGATACATCACTCACAAATGACTTGCAGAAAATGACACATTCTGTCACAGATAAAACAATCCATCACAATAGACCTGATATCACACTCATTGACAAATGCAGTAAGATCACTTATATAATACAACATATAACCTCTAATACAAGCTCTTAGCACAACAGACTACAGTAGAGCGTCGTTTATCCGAATCAATTAGGGAATGGGGTTGTTCGGATAACCGATCATGTACGAAAAAATATATTAATTTATCCCGTGTTGAAATTTTTCTCCGTTGCGTGTCGCTTCGCGTTGAATTTTCGTCGATGTTAAGCCTAACGAAGACTATTGTATCGTTAAAAATTATTTTTTTATTTTGTACAAACAAAATAAATATATTGAAAAATATAAAAACAATAAAAAATTATACTTCAGAAGTTAATTTAGTATAAAAAACGTAAAATATTTGAGTAGCCGAAGACATAGCCAAAGATTACAGCGCCACAGCACTGGCGAAAATTTAAATTTGTCGACTGGAATTCCTTCGGATAACCGACCTTCAGATAAACGACGCTCTACTGTATTTGCATAGGCATAATCAAGTAGTAAATATAATACACCAACAGCCTGCACAGCACAGATTATTAAACAACCAGGTATCAAACTATAAATATACTCCACAAGCAGTATTAGAAAATGACACACACAAAATATACAACAACAGAGCCATAATCACAGATAAAACAATCCATCACAATAGACCTGATATCACACTCATTGATAAATGCAGTAAGATCACTTATATAATAGACATCTCTGTTCCAAACATCATAGCATAAAAAATGCCCAGATTGAAAAAATCAACAAGTAAACTCCACTCACTCAAGAAATAAGATGGATGTGGAGGATAGATAAGGTATTTATTGTACCTGTTTGTCTCTTTTCTACTGGTGTCATACCACATACACTATACAAAAGTCTAGAAACATTAAACCTCTTAATAACAACATATACATGGCACTACAGAAAGCTGCAATATTGGAAACATGTCATATTGTGAGAAAGTTTCTAGACGTTGACATATACATCAATAATACAGCTTAAATTTTACACTTGTTTGGGTAGCTATGTCTTTAGTCTTGCATAGCACTTGGCACCAGTATCAGCTGAGCATGACATTCACAACATAATAATATAAAACTGCATGGTAGTGAGCATTGTTAACTGATACATAAACACTATCAATAAACAAATTAAAAATATATAATTTTATTTATTTATTTATTTTTAAATATAATTAAGATCTTGCTACAAAAACAGATAAACATCAGAAAGATTCTTGATTATGGTGCAAATTATGCAAAAAATTAAAATTATTTTATAATTACAATAATGTAAATATTAGAAATTAATATTTGTTTAATATTAAATTTTATAATTTAAAAATCATTTTTATTTTTATTTGATCCTTTTTATGTAACTGAGATGCTTAGTTACATAATTTATAAAGATAATGTGCACCGTTAGTCCTAGGCACTTTATAATATATATTTTTAAATAATTTGCATTTAAGAACATAATAATAAATTTAAAATGAACAAAACTTAACTTCAAGTTGTTTCATTTGAATAAATTAGTTTTTACATACAAAAATTGTTATCATCATTTTGAATCATCTCCTTTTGTTTACATATCACCACATTGACTGAGTTATGTCTGGAATGTCTAATAAAATAAATTTATTTTACTGGATATTTTAAACAAACAACATACTTTTATAAAACATATCACAGTCAACATTTTAATTAACATTTCCAGGCAGAAGGAGGAAGGAGTTGAAGATGAGTAATCTTTCTCTTGCAGTAATATAACCAAATGAGTCCTATAATCAGGCATACAACACATTCTACATAATACCCGTCCAATATAGTTATGCATTCTTCTTTTGTCATCTCATGGCAATTCTGTAAAAATAATATTTTTGATTGTTATATATTGAAATAATTAAAATTTGACAAAACAATTTTTCAGGATCATCATCATTTAACTTAAATTATATTAACTAAACAATGATTATATGATATTTGTATAACTATACAAATTTCTCTTCTCTTTTGGTATGTATCTTCCTTAGGTTGAAGTGCATAAATATGTCAACAAACATAAGAACACTTTTAAAGCAATACTCTTATGTACACTTTGAAATTTTATCTGGAAGATTTTTTGTTCATAGTCATTTCATAGTCAAATCATTTATTTACAAAAACAATTAATAATCATTCCCTGAATTGAATCAAACTTTTGTAACTAAAAGTTTGATTCAATTCAGAGAAATTATTAATTGTTTTTCTAATATGAAATAAAATTACTTACATCTAATGTAGAGTTGGTAACACAGGGAATCACTATCTTCTTACACTCTTTAAATGTAAGAGGATCAACAAACCACAAAGCTACAGTTGAAGGCCAATTTCCTCCCAAGTTGGACACTGTATTGAGAAGTGTCATGTATGTTCCACCCATGGCTGGGTCACTTATCATGGCAAAAAATGCCATCAGAGCAACAAAGATACTATAAATTGTTATCTGTAAAAGATCAATAAAAAATATTTTATTTTTGTTATGTTAAAATCTAGAAAAGTCTGTAGACATTTCTTACCTGATGAATAGCATATCCAAGTAAAATGACAATGTAATAATAAAATGGAAAGGATCCATTATCCAATCTTACTAAATGAGTCCAATAGACAAGAAAAGATAACAATACTCCAAACATCAACCTATATAAACAAAGAAAGTTGATGAAAAAAGTGAATTATAAATAGAATACACTCCTAAAATTACAAAATCAGGAAACTCTTATTTTAATTATTAAAAAAAGTCATTTATGCAATAACAAAACTCCAAAATAATGCAAAACAAATGATAAACAGAATGCATTCATAAATAAGTTAATTTGTGTGTTCAAGATTAAGTAACTTACATTAATGTAGAGATACAGGAAAGAAAATAATGATAACTAAATTAAATAAGAAATTTCATATTGACTGAATTGAATTCTCAGGATAACTGTTTATTCTAATACCAAATATTTCAACAAATGAATTTTGTAACACAGGATGATCATCTTGTGAGCAGTATAATTAGCAATTCTGGAAGTTGTTGGCACCTGACTAACTCATCTTGTACCACTGATTTATTTATTTAAATGTTATTCCATGAATCTATAGTAAATAAATGTTTAAAATTTAAGTATTTCTTGTAAAAAAAAGTAGGACAGTACTTGGATAATCCACTAATATGGAAGAACAAAGACTTAACACATACAGTGGTGCCTCGTACAACGTACTTAATCCGTTCCAGGTGCACGTCCGTTATACGAAACGCATTTTCCCATAGAAATACATGTTAAAACATATAATTCGTTCCGCAGCATAAAATAACCGTACTGTATCATAAAAAATGAAAATGGAGCAGACACCAATTATGCCGGGTAGTCAGATGTGAGGAGGAGGTGGAAGAACACTTTCTTTACACATTCATACAGATACAGACTTTTTACACATTGCAGCGGGTCTTTTTTTATTGTTTTTTAATCGGAGTCAGATTCAGGAGAGGCTACCGGAACTTGCAGGGTCAACTTCTCTTGTTCCATCCTTTGTTTTTTGCCCGCTGGCTTCTTGAAAAACATGACCAAGGTGGTCTGTTTCTCTTTCTTCTTTAACACCTGTCGGAAATGACGGACAAAGGTGTCATCGTAGAGATCATTGATCCTGTTGGCCTCAGCTCTGTTTGGATAATGAGTGTTGGTAAACTCCTGAACCTCTCCCCATTCGACAAGAAAGTTTTTGTCAACTTTCACTCCTGATGATTTCTTGCTTTGTTTCAATTGAAATCACCTTTCTTTTTTTTTAGAAGCCATGATGCATTATAAATGACTTAACTTGCCAGATTATATGATACGAATAATTCTTTATTAATTAAGATCACTAAACACTTCTACGAGCTACTCTCGCTCCGTTTGTTTTTTACAACCTCTTTTCGTCCCGCCACCTCGGCATCTACACAATTACATTTCGTTTATTTGAATCGTCAACATATACTGTATTACATTACATTTAATGTTTATTTAAATCATCAACATATATTACATTACATTTCTACTTCAGATATACTAATAATACATTCTAATAATACTAATATATCCTAAAAATAGCAGATTGTCATTGGCAACGGCAAAAGAGTGGAAACATCATTCGCACTTGTTCGAAAAAAGTCCATTGTTCGTCTCACGTAACTGCCGAACGGAAAGTCCATTGTTCGCAGCAAGTCCGTTGCTCGAGTCACGTAACGGTCAAACGGAGAGTCCGTTATTCGCAGCGTCCGTTATTCGAGGCACTACTGTATTTGTCAATAATATCAACTCCACAGGTATTAGAGTCTAGATAGATAAAAATGATAATGTGGTGAATTTCTTGGACATTACCATCTTAAAATTATTTAGTAGATATTTAATAAAAGTACATCAAAACTTTAATAGTGTTAATTCTTATATACATTGACAGTTGTTTGATATCATGTTCCATAGATTGGCAGCCTTCTACATGTTCAAAAGGGCTTTAACATTCTCTTCTTACAGAAACAGAGCACAGGAGTTCAGATACATCATCCAGGTAACAGTTTCTCATGGTTTTCCTTTCAATCAACAAAGGTGTACTGGAAAAATGCCAGTATTACAGGTTTAACAGCTGCCTGGTTGGTTATGTTAGAACAATTCTGTAATACATCTCCATACCGAGAGTGATCCTAGCTCTGCCATTTCTGAAGGAATCACTGTCCGGAGTGTGTTTTAAGCTGAAGAGTTCCTGGTAAGTCACATGATTGCTGTTGTATATCATTAATTTAGAAACAATGTGAATTTGAATCATTGATTCCTGTAATCTTTGTCATGTGAGGATAAATTACTTTCCAAATATGTACAGTATTTTTCTACAGGCATGCTACATTTAACATCTGCTTATCAATACATTAAATGTAGCCAGTTGATTCCATTAGAAGTAATCATTTACATTTCTTTTATTAACTTTTATCTTTCTTTTAAATCTGGAATTTTATTATGTTGCATTACCTGTTTTCTTTTGAAATATTTTGTATTTAAATTTTATGTTCTATTTGAGTGTTGTTCAACCTTTTTTTAATAGTGGCAACCCAACTTGGTAACTTTTTATTGCTGCATTTCAATTTCTTTATCAATGTAAAGTTACTGCATCTTGCATACTTTCAATAATACACAAAACAAGTGTTATGGCACTGCTCAGACCTATATTACACAGCACTCCTAAAGTGTTATGCTACCTTAATTGAAAACCACTCTTCTATTTTACATCTGAACCCCTTTCAATCCTATATATTTGGAACTGCTGTTCTTTGTTCAAACATAAATATGCCAGCTGACCAAAATTGTTTCTTCTGTTAAAAAGTACTTGGATCCTGAAACTAAGCAGTTTTGGTGTTTATTCTATATCTCACAATGACATACATAATAAAATTTTCTAAATACTTTCATTAATTTCAATGACAATTTTTTCAAAATGACGAAATAAAATAATAAAAATAATTTATAAAAGAATCCTAAATTATAAATTTTTACTTTTTTGTTCTTATATTCTGAGACAGTTACAATTAAATGAAATGAAAATACAATCGATTCTTGTTAGTGTTAGTGAAACTAACTACAACAAAACAAAATAAGTTGGCAAAAACCTGTAACATTCTTCAAGAAAGTTGTATACAGATTCTCAGTGAACCAAACCACACAAATAATAATTGCTAACATTAGCCTCTATTTTCAATCTAGCATAAACAAAACACAAATATGAATGACCACATATTTTCACATCAGATGTCATTTATTAACCAAGAGGCTGACTTTCATATTTGCCATTCACCTTTAATGTTCTAAAACTTATTGTTCTCCACTTTTCAAAAGGAAGAAATTTTCAACAGAGAATTGGTTGCCTTACATGTAATAATTTTTAAAATTCATTGATATTTAAAATATATATTGAATTCAGGAGTATTTAGTATTATTTTGTGTCTGAACCTAAATAAAATAAATAAATGTAAAAAATTCAACTGTGTATCATTATAATGTAATAAATTGAATTAAAAGGTAATGTATACCACTGTCTGTTAGCATTACAAAAACATAATTTTTTTGATTACTTTTGACAGTACATAACTGTCCTCTTTAGGCAGAATTATTAATGGAGATTCCAGAGAACAAGCCATTCTTGTTCTCCAGAATCTCTACTAACAATTTTTTTTCTTTTTTTCCTTTTCTATTAATATTTGGTGTGTATAGCTGTTTAAAAGTTTAGTAATAACTGTTTGTTAATCCTGCACTCTTCAGCCAATTAAGAATACAAAAAAACATCAGAATCTTTAATTAACTTTTGCTTGATATTTAAAATAATGGTTATTGATTTTGATATTTTAAAAACAAGATTTTTTTAGGCTATTGCACAATATAAAAACATAGTACTTTCATATAATATGATTTAAGATGAATTTTTTAAACCTGAAAAAAATCCTGAAATTTTGAATACAGGAATCAATTAAAATTGCTTATGTTTCGTATTTTGTTGAAACTTTATGAAAATAAGAATAATTCTATATGAGTGGTAATTAACTAATACAGTTTATTTGTCATTAAATTATTCAACATAAATATATATAAAAGCTGCTTAGCAAATATAATGATTTTCTTTTTGAAACCATGTCCTGTTTCATATTTGTGCCATAGTAAACACTAGTATTGTGTTTTATTCCAAAGACACATGGCAAATTTTCCATCAAATTCCTTTATTAGTTGAGTCGACTCAACTAAAAAAGGAATTTGATGGAAAATTTGCCATGTGTCTTTGGAATAAAACACAATACTAGTGTTTACTACGCCACAAAAATATAATGATACTAATAATATGTGTAATTGGCAATTTTATTCAAGAGTTAAATTAGGTAAAGGTTACCTACTGAAGAGTGTTTGAGAATTCATTAGCCTATAAGAGATTACAACTTCATATATAAAATGCAGGTCAATTTTTTGAGCCTTCCTTCCTTTTTTTGGAATAAAGGTTGCATTTTACATGCCATAAAATCCATATATAGTTTAAAAGAATAATTACAATTTTTACCTGTATGGATAAGCTTTCAAAAATACATCTAAAGGTCTTGGTCCCACTGTATATCTACTAATCAAGAGTGGCAGCAATATTTGAAGAGGAACCATTGGGATGGCAAGAAGTGCCAAATTCTCTCTGGCAACTCCTGCTTCAATCAATTTTAATCCTGTGACTGCATCAGTGGCTGAAAAACCAATCTAAAAACATTAAAAGAATTTAAAATTTTATATTGATATACTGTATAATATTTTTGTTCAAATTCTGTGTAAAATTAGATTTGTCCAATAAAGACATTTCTTCTGAGATATCTGTAATATTATTTTTCATTATGATACAACATTTTAAGAACACACATCTTTTCTATATCACTATAAGAAAACAAAATAAAGGAATAATTATATTGCAAAGGTAAAACTTTATAGCAAAGTGAGTTAGTTACAATTGCCATCTTAGATTTTTAAGAGTCATATCCATAAACTCATCTAAATTTAAATATTACAAACACAGTTTGTTCCCTTGTTGAATTTAAATGCAAAAAAATTTTTAACATTTAAATAATGATTTAATATTTAAGACAATAGTAATTCACAAGCTTTTAGAAAATATGTCTATTGAGCACTGTAAGTTTAATATCTTACTTAAAATTATTTATAGTGACTTTATTACTTTAACAATTTTCTTTTTGTATTCTACATCATGAATATAAAAACAGTTTAATTATTGTACACATATTTTAAATTATATATATTTGCTACATTTCTATGTGTAATTCACTCTCCTTGGACAACATAATGGTTATAAATTTTGTTTTTAAACTGTAAGTTTCACTCTTAACAAATCTGACTGTACCATAATAGATAAATGAAAATCAGTTTATTTGTTAAAATTACAAATTTCACATTCTTTTCCAGTAACTGTGAAAGAATCACCTTGTGAACAGGACAATAAATGAAGAGATATTGAAAAGGATAGGGGAGTGAGAGAGTTATTGAAATAGATAATGAAAAAAATAAATTTCACAACCATATATGTTGACACAGGTTTTAATAGAGTTATCAAAACTTAATACTTTAGAAAAGAGTAACTAAAGATAAACTTGTTTCAAATACATAAGAAACTAGTCAGAAACAAAAGGGAAGACCTAGCCATCATGTGTAACTCTTTACTTAAAGAATACAATATAATTCATTATTAGGGATTGCATTACTAGTAAATGGTTTGCAAGTAATCAGGTGACAATGCATCAGTAAATATACTATTAATTTAATATTTTTACCGGTAAATTCAGTAAAATATAGGAAGACAGGTAATAATTTTTGAAGCCAAATATTTATTTGTATAAACTTTCATGCATATTTATATTTTTATATATAAATGACAAAAGTGTCAAACATTTTATTTAAACCATAAAAGAAATTTATACCATTTATCTTTTAGTTTATATTTAATAGTTCTTTATAAATTTTAAAGTATCATATTACAGTTAGACAATTTATTTCTTAATCTGTGATAGCTAGAGTGAAATAGCAATTTTAGTCAAGTAACACTTTAGTTCACAAAATGGAATACCTTTATTTGAATGCAAGTATTGGCATTGGCTACTTGTTAATCATGGCAACAAAAAAAAATTGGAGCATGTTCTATTTTTCAGAAAACAAAACTTTTACTTTTCAAAATAGAAAGAAAAGGGAATTAAATTGGTCTTAGAACACTAATTTTATATTTGGAGTCAAAAGTTAAAAATTACTGTAAACCAGCAACATTTTGAAAATTACCATTTTATTGGTAATAAAAAAGTCAGTAAATTTGCACCCAGTTATCATAAGATTAATTATAAATCAACACTATAAAATTATATACATGACTTCACATCAATAAATTAAATAACCTACCTTACAAGTCAGAAGCAAAGCACCAAGAGTGAGTACACTTGGTAAACAAAGAACTCGATACAGCATGACATAAGCTTCTTTCAAATTCAAATTGTTGTGCTCCTCGATTCTTCTTGTTTCTCGTTCTTTTTTAAAAACCATAATCAGAGTTGTCGTAATCAAAAATACGACACCCCAGAAGCTTAAAAACCCTGCAGAATTTCATATTTATAAATAATAAGTACTTTAAAATATAAAACTAATATTTAAAAACATTTAAAAAGTAATTTTATATAATTCTTAATAATGTGAATAGCTACAGAATAGAATAATTTGACCAATGCATAGCTGAATCTTTATTTATGAAAGAATACAGGTATACCTCGCCTTACGTCAGTAATTGGTTCCAGGAGAGGTGACTTAAGTCGAAAAACGACATAAGTCAAATTTACTTGTCACTAGGCTAAACCACAAATAACCATTCCCAGTTCTGTATTTTATTTATAAATGCATTTTTAATAATATATGGTTAATTAGAATCTATTTTAAGCTTACAAACAAATAAATTTTAGTTTTTAATATAGTACAAAAAAAAAGTAATCTAAATTTATAAATACATGTACAGTACATATATACAGTACATGCAAATGTACATGTTTACAATTTGGCAATGTTTACAGTGCATCGCAGACTCTTTATTTGTGAATGTGGTTTGCTCTAAGACATTATAAAATAAAATGATTCTGTAAGGTTAAATACAGTTATTAAAATTATTTTGCAATAGTAGAAAAAACTAATTTATGTTAAATTTACCAATATCGAGTGGCACTGACAACGATGCCAAACAGTAGATATTGAAATTACCATGGAAAATGCCAATATTGAGCTCTTAAAGACCGCTAAATAAGATGACAACACAGAGCCACAGATGTTTTCATATTTCGTTCTCTACAATTTATGATGATTATGTTAACATTTACTGTAAATATGTATTTTAATATAATTTTATGCGCTTTTAACACTTTTCTAGTGATATTATGACTTCAACATTTGTGACGGACAGATGTAAAGTCGAATAAAATGACTTAAACCTAATTTTTATTTTATCATATATTTTTTTAACAAATGATGTATAATCAAGAATGACGTAACTTGAAGTATATCTGTACAATTATTCATCATTGCTATCGTCATCAATCTGTTAATTAATAAACTATTCATGAACTCTCAAAGTACATCCAAGAACCAGAAAACATTAAGGCAGTGGAAAATGAACTAAATAGACTATCAACAGATATCTGAAAGTACATAATAACACCCAAATATCCAAAAGCTATGACAAACTCACCAATCTACAAGATATTTGTAATGAGAGGAGGTATAAGGAATCAAAAGACCTGAAATGCATATTCATTTCTGTAATCAATAAAGTCTATTTTATCATAGGTCCAAAGTTCTTGTATGATAAGTTGTTCTACACAATTTAGAATTAAAAATATAAGAACAGGAAGTTATGAAAACACCCATGGACAGATCTTCAATGATCTTAGATCATACTCATCCATATGGTTAATAACCACTCAAATTCTTAATGAATACATCAAGCTTTTCTTAGTGCCTAAAGATCAAAAAATGACTATAATGATAGTCATTGATTAAGGGATTCCATTATAGAAGATGGCAGCACAACTGCCTATCTTTATATCTAAATTCTGATGAGTAATTAAATTTAGCTTAAAGTAGCCCAAATTATAGCTTGTAATCTTAATATAGCTATGTAATCTTTTAAAACTGAATCAAATTTAACAAGAAATTTTAATTAATCCCCAAAACACAAAGCATTAACTTTCTTCCAAGAAAGTTCCAAGAAAGTTAATGCTGTGTGTTGTAAACAGAGTATTAGAATTTCTCCTAAATTGCTGAATAATATTCAGCAAAATAAAATAAAATAACTGCAATAATACAATCCATTCTGAAAATTCTAGAAAGTCAGTTGACAAAAAACAAAGAAAATTTATATATATCACACTAACCTTATGAAGCTGTGCAAATATTTTTTATGTACCACTTAAAAATATTTGCAAAGCTTCATAAGGTTAGTGTGATATATAGCCTATATTTATCAACACTTTGCTTATAAGATGGATTTTATAAAAAAAAATTATTATGAAATCTGAAACACTACTTTATACACAGAGTTTTAGATTCAGTGATGTTTTTGGATTTTCTTGGTCAATTGACTTTCCTGTCATTATGTTTTATTTTCTTGCTTGAAGATATACCCAGTAAACTCTTGCTAATATGTCATTCTTTGCACATAGATTGCCAGATTACTGAATGTATAGGCCTAAAGACAATAAATGACAATCAATTGCCCTTTGATACTATTTTTTTTTTTTTTAGAGCAAGCAAGCAAATAATACAGAATGCTGACATGTAAGACTACACAAAGAAATAAAATTGATTAAACATGAAAATAGAAAACATGACTAATTTTCATAGGTTATATGGTTTAATAAGACAATAAATTACATTAATGTTCTTTAATGAAATCTGTGATAATATATGGCCTATATTTAGAGCATAGAAATTCTGAATATTTCAGTGATGCTTTTCAAGGCTGATACTATATCAAAGTTTGACTTTAGTTTAAATTTAATTTTAAAATACAGCAAATCCTCACTTTACATGTCATTGTGGTTAACATCATTCAGGAAAGACAAATACATTTGTAATCAATTATAACTACAACTATTGAATTTTCTTTATAAACAGTAAAATTGATTCTATGAAATAGAAAATAAATGCTGGAGGTTGCAAACACAATCTAATTAGAATATTATTAACTAAATTATATCTTCTTCAGGGAGTCGTGCTAGAAAATGAATAGTTGCCAATCATTTCATCAGTTTTTTATTTTTTCTGCCACCAGTTTTACTAACTAATGTAGGTGCTAATAGCCTTATCAGTTTGGAGTCTGGAAAGCAAAAGTAACATAAGCTGTCACTTGGAAATATGAATCATTTTTGCATAATTTTTTAATAAATAACACATTTGATCACAATGTTTAAACAGTATTTCACTTCTGTCATGTCAAAACTTTTGTGTTAGTCTACTGAAAAAAATCAGTGATAAAAAATGTCACCCCCAAAAATTTCCCAAATTTTCTGTCAGTCAAAAAAAAAAAAAAAATCCTCAATCTGGAAACGTTGGACAGCATTGCACAAAAAATGCTGTCTGTTCTCGTGTCACTTCCTGCTTTCCTGCCTGAATTTGCCACATCATGAAATCATTAGATGTATGATGCATGGGACTCTCATTGCACAGGAGCTCAACATTCTGCTGTTTTACCCGAAGCATGCTTTGTGATTACATTTTATGCTGAATGACAAAATAAGCAGATTAGTGTTTTATTACTACTTTAATAAAAATATCCCAAAGTGGAGATTTTGGCACTATACAGCATGACCCCTGCCTCTTTATAAAATTTAGCCTATGGTATAATTGATTTCATTTTATGTCATTTCACTTAATGTCATAGTTTCCAAGAAATTATTCACAACATAGTGAAGACTTGCTATACATAATTTTAGCATTAAGTTCATAAGAAGCAGGACAGTCCGCTCAACAATAATTTTCCAGGAACTAATTAGATTGTGAAAGCAGAGACTACATTATCAAATTTAAATTGCTATATTTAATTTCAGTATATCACAACCCAAATTTCAAAGCTGCATAGACACATTTTATACTGTATTGACACAAATCACTTAATAAAAATGAATTAATTTGCATTGATAAAGAAATGTGATCTCTAATGCAATATTAATTTTATTCAAAGTATTAATTAAAATTGCATGATAAAAATTTCACAAATGTCTCTTATATCTGAATCAGTTTCTAAAACAATTTTATTACAAAAAGTATGGATATAATATCCTTGTCTCTTTTAAATATTTTTGTGAAGTATTCTGTGTCACAACTAAAAATAAATTTAAAAAATAATCTTTTAAACACACCAAAATAAATATGTAATGCATTGTTAAATTTATGAAAATTTATTTGAACATAATTTGTAAATAAGTTCTTTACTTATGTATTAAATTTGAATAATTTTAAATTATAGTATAAAACTAATAAATCTCACCAGATAATGTAACAAGCCCTTCTTCTTTTGGTACCATTCTCAAATAAGTGTTGCAGAAATCTTTTGATTCTAGAGCCAAGAACACTACATTTCCCAAGAAATATCCAGCCGTCTGACCTACAGAATTGCATGTAGAGGCATATCCAACATTACGCCTAGAAATAAAAGTTGAATGGCAAATATTAAACATCAACATCATTTAATTTCTATTGGTTTTTTTTGCAATATTGGACTATCATATAATTTAACATTTTAAAATTTAATATTGCCAAAGAATAATATTGCATTATAGCAAATTTTATAATTATGACATGATACCTGACTATTATATACTTTGGTGACCTGAAAACTCTACAGTTTGTATCAAAATTTGTTTTCAATACTTTGGATAAGGCACTCTTCATAACTATCAGGGTAAATATTCAGACTAATTTTACTAATTTACAAATTATTTAACAGAAAAAATTAAGTTAGTTTTCGATATAATTTCTTGACACTTCCAGATAATTTTCCTAAAGGTCCAACGTCTTCCAAATTCTGGTAGCATAGAATCCTTTTGGTTAATACAGTGATGCCATGCAACTTTCTTATTTACTTTATTCTCTATCTCTCATAGTTTCTGAGATAGAAGTGTTAACTTCCAAATTTTATTGTAAGGGGTGATGCCATCAGTCTCATCTGATAGCACATTCCCACTTTACTGAAACATCACTTCTATAGCTCTAGCTATCTTGGTTCAAAAGTTATTTACGTGACTTAGGACTTGTGCACCCCATATATGTGACATGCAAATCCCAATGTATTTTTCATGATAATTAACACACACATATTTTAAATCCCTAAAAAATTATACATATAACTATATTATACAGCCAATGACATACAAATAAAACAATAATGACTTGAAAAATCCTTTCTTTTTATAACGAGATGTTATGATTGTTAAGCATTCTATTATCCTTTCAACTCTATGTTTCACTTAAGAAGAAGCTTGAAGATAAAAATGCAAAATAAATGATGACCTAAACAAACAGAGACATTGGTAATAATGCACATCATTAGTAGTTCAAATTGCAAATCACAACAACAAAGCACTCCTTTCCAAATAATAAGCAGTTTCATTTCCTACTTCAAATACGGTTCTAAAGCAGGAGTGTCCAACCCGCGGCCCGCATGCGGCCCAAGGCAAGTTCCAATGCTGCCCAATAAATGTGTAAACAAAATCGACAAATGTTTTAATATTTTTATTATTTATTTATTTCAATGTCATAAACTCAAAAAAAAAGTTTCACAAAGACATAAACATTTATTCATATTTTATTTTTGATTGAAAAGAAAATATTTTCAAATACTTGAATACTTGGAGATGTGTGAATGAGGAAGAATTACTAAATAAAGCTGGAGTTGTGACTCAAAGGATTATAGACCCAAATTTGGTGAAAGGAGGAAAGGAGAGAAAGGACAAAAGATAAAAAGTAGTGAGAAAGGTTAAATAGATCTTCTGTTATGCAAATACTGAGGTACCTCAGGAATTCCTTTATTAGTTGNACATTGAAAAAAAATAACTATAGTAAGGAAAACACTGAAAAATGTGTTTTGTAGTTGTAAATGTATAAATAACCATAATAGAATAATAATTGATAAAGAAAAATGTAGTTTTATTTGCACTTTACCTTTGAGGATAGACGACAGTGGAGGTGTAAACTGGTGGTGGAGGAGAGGGAGAAGGGAAATAATACTAAAACTTAACTTACATAACATAATGTAACAATAACTTAAAAATAACTTAACACTAATTTTTTTATCTTTTCTGTTTTATATATATATATATTAAATATTTTATTCACTGCTTTTTGCTTTCCACCAGCACTTCCATTGGATACAGGTTGCTTGGTAAAATATCTATCCAAAGAGGTTTGGCTTTGTCTACTTTTTAAAATGTTTCTAAAATGACTTAGGCAAATGTCATTACTCTGACCAGCAATACGGCCAGTGTGAACCTTTTTGGGGTGATTATTTTCAATAAAATCAGTCACTTTCTGATAATACTTCAAGATTTCCTTTATCGAGCGAGACCCTTCCACGACGAAGCAAACACGCAGACTGAGACCAATGAACAGAAGTGAATAAAAAATGGCACTGCGAACTAATATAATGTCGTATGGCGAGTTTTTGTTTGTATCGTGGAGCAAAAATATGTTGGAATTTCATATCATATCCTGAAAATTTCATATGCTGGGGTGTTCGTATCCTGAGGTACCACTGTATTGACCATTAATTTTCAAATCTTTCTCACTTCTTTATCTTTTGTCCTTTCTCTCTCTCCTTTTCCCTTTATAATCCTTTGAGTCACAACTCCAGCTTTATTTAGTATTTTTTCCATTGTTGCAAGATTTGGCTACATTGCGCCAAATGTGGCTACTTTTTTTAGTTTGACGAAAAATATCATTTGGCACTTTGGCTACTTTTTGGGCTACATATTATTTATAAATATATTAGTTGAATAAAAATGCACTTTAAAATCGTGTTTTGTCACTTTTTATTAATCAGAGATCCAAATAAAACAAATATTTGTGTTTTTCAAATAAATTTTCATTTGTCTCTTTTATAATAAATGAATTTATCCATTTCTAAGTTAAAATTGAAAGTGTCTGTAAAAGTAATTTTTTAAAATATCCCTTTTTGTGATAAACTTTTAATATTTATTATTACAATCTAGACGTGTTAATCCTTAAATATACTTGTATATTGGGCCAGAAGTATATATAATATATACTTGTGGCCCAAAACTCCTTGGCTTCTTCCAATGCGGCACAGAGAAACAAAAAGGTTGGACACCCCTGTTCTAAAGTGATGACAGAATGCTTAATGGATGCTTAAAAACCACAGCCACATCTCATTATAAAATAAAAATAATTTCTTAAATTATTATTATATTTTTATGTTATAAGAGTGTTATATCTTGTGATATGCAGACTGATTTACTTTATTACTTAGGTACAGTTAAAATATAAATTACATTAGTCAACCTTAAAATAAATTCAGATTGGCATACAAATTTTAGACTAAATAGATTTGTATATTTAAAATATTTATAGGCTCATATCTTTATTGTCAAAGTGCTAATTTTTATATTTTTTCCACATCTTTTGAATATATAACTTTGTCTGTCTATTCATTAGAGAGAGAACTATCTTTAGTAAAACTTATTACATATTTTTAACTCTAACAGTTAAATCAAGTCATATTATCAAACTAAAAAAACAAATGCCTCAAAATAACATTTCAATGATTTTGACCAAAGTGCATTACCTCGACAACATGGTGAGCGCCCATCCGTCCACGGCAACATCCTGAGTGGCTGCAAGAAAATTTAACAGAAAGAATATCAACGTCAGCAGAAAGACGTTGGGACGCTCTTCCTCGGACTCTCCACCCAACAAAGAGGGAACGAAACCCGAAAGCACCAGCATAAACAAGCCAATTAAATACTGGGTAGGGATCAGCCACGATTTCCGTCTACCAAAACTGGTGCAGAACTGGCTGTCGACGACGGGCGCCCAGATAAGCTTTATACTAAACGGCCAGTGTGCAAAGCTGAACATGGCCTGTTCTTTATAGCTTATATTTCTGTTCTGGAGTACCAGAGGAATACTTCCACCAAGACCCAATGGAATACCCTGCAGCACATAAAGAATGAGTAACAGAATGATATTCTGTCTATCTCCTGCTGACCAATCGTCCATGTCGGTTTCGTTTTCATCCCGAGCGATTAAATACGTAGAAGAAGTCTCCGGAACATCATCGGATCTTCTTTTTCTGACTTCATTTTCCATATTGAATTCACTTCTTATGAGACATTGGCAATTAATTACGAAATCTATGAAACAAAAGCATAATTTAAGCACGTAAACACGTATTTCATCCGTTTAAAGATAATTCAAGACTCAAATTCTCGTAGTTTATATTTATTTAAGAGAAAAACCGTAAAATATGATATAAATTTGGAAGTCAAAGTTATATTTACCTTGTTTTATAAAATTTAATTATTATTTTGCTTTGTAATTCTTATTTCCTTAATCTGAAACATCAAATACTATTTCGTAAATAAACATTAAAAATTCATGTTTTTTTCTTTCCAACTTCCGTTTCTATCAACGTGGATTACATAAATGAATTCGATAATTCCGCGCATGTTACCATACGTGTCTTTATCTAATCATAGACATCAACATTTTTTTTTCTACGATTTATTTTTGAATTATGTTACGATATTTCATTATACACTTTAATAATTAATTAAAATAATTTATTAATTCTTAAGTTTTATTTAATGATATTTTGTTGTAAGAAATTGTATGTATGATTGTTGAATCATACATGAAAGCCAATATGGACGCTTTGTTAATTATTCGAATGTTATCGAATTTTTAACAGTACATTTTGCATTGTCACTAATATAGTTACTTCACTTAGAGCCAAACAAAACATAGAAAGAAAAAAGTGGACAAAATCCAAGATTGTTCACTAGAATGAAATTGCGAATGAAAAGAATTGCTACGGTTACAATATTATGAAAATGTAACCCGTGTTACATTCCTTTCTTTTGTTAATAGGGTGTTATTATTTGGAGCATCCATAACAAGTAGGGTCTATCTCCGAATAGCTTGTTTTTGATCACTAGGCGACCGAAGGAGCCTTGCCGGCCTTATAGAATGACCAATACGCACGCATAGACATCCATGCTACCAGCCCGTCCCTGAGGGAGCCGCGAACCCACGACCGAAACTCCCAGTGTTCAGGGACTAGATCTAACTCAAAGAGCGGGGATGAAATCCGCTCGGGCACTGGTGGGCCGTGTTACATTCCTTACAGCCAGAATAGTAGTAAAAAAACTAAAATTTGAGATGATTACAATAATTTCCCGTGTTATGTTATAACAAACGGGAAAGTAAAACACATTTGGAACGGATTTCTACGGGTCTAACAGCTTGGACAGATCTTCAATGATAAAAAAGGAAAAAAAAATGTAACGTTGTGTTCCTCCAAAGACTAAAAACATTTTGTTTCTCTGTATTGCGAGATAGACGATTTGTATGAAATTTTGTTAAAGAACTGCAGACCTCCAAATGATGCTCCTTATCTCTTTTGCTGAGTTCGTGTGGTAGACCTATCCATTTGTCGAGCTTCTTGACTTTCCTAACATGTTTAATGTCGAGAAATGTTTAAATAACGTCCAGTATGCTCAACCTTTCGGCGATTTCCATGACAGTCAAGTGATGTTCTTCAATTCTGATTTTTGAGATTTGTATACCCGAAATAAACTTTTTTGAACCAATGTCTGATAGTCTGCTCACTCACAGAACATTTATCAAAAGTTTTATTAGTATTTCGGATTGCTTCGGCTGCATTATGTTCTTGCTTATACTCGTAAAAAAAGTTAATCAATTTTTCTTTTTTTTCCATATCGTCGGAAAAAGTACTGTACTCTTAACTTTATCCAGTTTGATGATGCATCAATATGCAATACGTGCAACCCCGGCGGCCACCGACGAATCTCTCCGAAAAGCCAAAAATATTGGGTGAAATAAGGGCTAGTACTAGGGATTGTAAATTTACCGACTTTTTCATTTACCGGTAATTCGGTAAATTAAAATTAAAATACCAGTTTACCGGTAAATTATTCTCTTGAACAATAAAATTAAGGTGATAAAAAATATGTCATTATTATTTCCATTTCACATTTTTTATTTCAAAGATATCAAATATAAAATTAAAGTGTTATTTTAAACAAACTATAATAATAAATATAGAAATACTGTAAACAGAAATAAAATAATACAGAAAAATAAAAATACAACAGAAATAATATAAAGTACCTAATACCATTTTATTGATTATCATTTTTTAAAATTAACTTCTCAAGAAACTTAAATTATTTAGACTTATCTCCTAATTTTGATCTAATTTTTGTACAAAATAATCCAGATCCCATGAATATCCTTTCTGATTCAACACTTGTTGGACGAATGGTCATTAAATTAAAATTAAACAAAAAATATCTCACATAAAATTAATAATTAGGTATATTGTTGCTTACACTGGTTTCTTCTTTTCAGTGTTCCTTTAGCCCTTTTAAATATCTATAAACACAATATTTTCTACATAGAAATTTCTAGTATGGATTTTTCATTTACCTAAATTTCAAAAATTTACCGGTAAGTTTACCGAATGTTTTTTTGTCAATTTATCGGTTAACCGGTATACAATCCCTAGCTAGTATACATTAGGCGTTGGACGTTGCGTTAAACGCGCGGTGTGTACGCTGCGTTAAACGCAGCGTACACACCGCGCGTTTAGCTCGGCGTTCGACGACCGTTCGCATTGGTTTATTTTGGAAATGGACGTGAAAGTAATTGCTTGTCTGTGGCTCCTCTATCGTCGCTATAAAAGACGATGGCAGAGGCAAAGAGAATTTTGGGTGCACCCAATATTGCGAGATAGACTGACACATGGAATGTTTGTGACGTTGTATCCAAAACTAAGACAACATGAACCCAAGTTTTTTAATTATTTTAGAATGTCTATAAAATCATTTGACGATAACTGGTCTCTTTTGGATTTCATCAATAAACAGATCAGTATCGAAATGATCGTTCTCCATTTCGTCCAACGTGCATCCACTCTATCCGAAAGCCATCGTCGACGTAGAATTTAAAAAGATCGTCTTTTACCTCTCCACGGTGGACATTCTGCACCATGTAAATGCAGAAGATGATTTATTTATTTATTATTTAATTTTTTNAAAATACCAGTTTACCGGTAAATTATTCTCTTGAACAATAAAATTAAGGTGATAAAAAATATGTCATTATTATTTCCATTTCACATTTTTTATTTCAAAGATATCAAATATATAAAATATAAAAATTAAAGTGTTATTTTAAACAAACTATAATAATAAATATAGAAATACTGTAAACAGAAATAAAATAATACAGAAAAATAAAAATACAACAGAAATAATATAAAGTACCTAATACCATTTTATTGATTATCATTTTTTAAAATTAACTTCTCAAGAAACTTAAATTATTTAGACTTATCTCCTAATTTTGATCTAATTTTTGTACAAAATAATCCAGATCCCATGAATATCCTTTCTGATTCAACACTTGTTGGACGAATGGTCATTAAATTAAAATTAAACAAAAAATATCTCACATAAAATTAATAATTAGGTATATTGTTGCTTACACTGGTTTCTTCTTTTCAGTGTTCCTTTAGCCCTTTTAAATATGTATAAACACAATATTTTCTACATAGAAATTTCTAGTATGGATTTTTCATTTACCTAAATTTCAAAAATTTACCGGTAAGTTTACCGAATGTTTTTTTGTCAATTTATCGGTTAACCGGTATACAATCCCTAGCTAGTATACATTAGGCGTTGGACGTTGCGTTAAACGCGCGGTGTGTACGCTGCGTTAAACGCAGCGTACACACCGCGCGTTTAGCTCGGCGTTCGACGACCGTTCGCATTGGTTCATTTTGGAAATGGACGTGAAAGTAATTGCTTGTCTGTGGCTCCTCTATCGTCGCTATAAAAGACGATGGCAGAGGCAAAGAGAATTTTGGGTGCACCCAATATTGCGAGATAGACTGACACATGGAATGTTTGTGACGTTGTATCCAAAACTAAGACAACATGAACCCAAGTTTTTTAATTATTTTAGAATGTCTATAAAATCATTTGACGATAACTGGTCTCTTTTGGATTTCATCAATAAACAGATCAGTATCGAAATGATCGTTCTCCATTTCGTCCAACGTGCATCCACTCTATCCGAAAGCCATCGTCGACGTAGAATTTAAAAAGATCGTCTTTTACCTCTCCACGGTGGACATTCTGCACCATGTAAATGCAGAAGATGATTTATTTATTTATTATTTAATTTTTTAAATAATAAATAAATATTTATTTAATTTATTAAATTATTTATATAATTTAAAAAAGAAAAATAATTATAAATTAATTAATTAAAAAAAATTAAAAAATGATTTTTTTTACGAAATTCGAACATTGTTGACGCGTTTTTAACGTTTGTTCGAAATACGTCACGCATGACGAATCGCAGTTCGATTGTGTTTCTTGTTGCTTTCGGACGTGCTTTTGTTCTGCTCTTGGATTGCGTTGCTTTTTTTGCGGTTTGTGGACTTTTGCGGAGAGGATTCAAGATTTTTTAGGTAAGTCTTAGTCCATATTGACCCTAGACGTAAGAATTGATTTAATATTACTTGGAGAATCGGTCCCAGAAGACATCTCGGCACATCGTTCGATAGTCGGATTCGAATCTTTTAGATTTAAAAAGGCGGCTTGCTTTTACTCGGAAGAATTTAAGCATTAATTTAAGCTTTTGTTTTCACTGGACTAATTGCAAATTTTCTTTTTTACAGGATGAAGACGTTGGTGCGTTGTTGGAGGCGGTTCCGGCGGAGGCAGGCGGTGGCGCCGGAGGGAGAGGGTTCCTCGGACGACGCGGAACGAGTCTGTCGTTCCGTGCCGTCCGAGGAGCGACAGGCAGCGGGTGAAGAAGGCCTTGGCCAAGTGCGCGTGGCGTGGCATCCTCCCGGAGTCGGGATGATGCGACGCTACACCCTGGGTCCAGTGCGCTTGGCCGAGGTCTTCGGGGGTCATCCGGCCACAGACCTTGCTGTGGAGGATGTCGAAAGTGACAGCTCGTCCGAGCTGACACTTTCTGTTTGGTCGTGTTCTGCCCGTTCGTCCGCGACGGCGACGCCACCGCCTTGCCGAAGTCTGGACGGGGAGGAGTCGGAGGAGAGAGCCCCCGAAGTCGAGGGACCGTGCTGTCCGTGGTTTAGTTGCTGCGGACGGCTGCGGTTGCCTTGGCCTAGGCGGTGATCTTCTTCGATTTCCTCTTCTTCACCCGGATGCGACTTTCTTACCGGATTCGACACTTTTTACCCGGACATGACACTTTTTAACGGACGTGACCTTTCTTACCCGGACGTGACCCACGGACTTGACACGTTTCTTCACCGGACGCGACATTCGGCCGACCTTTCTTCCCAAACAGCTGTTATGAGGATTGAGCTTCCGGTTAGGGTTCGTTAGGTTAGCCTAGGCTAGCCTAACGAACCCTTCGCTCTTCTCATAACACTGTTCGGGAAGAAAGGCTGTCTGATTAAGGTAATAATCTTGACCTTAGGTAATAAATGAATAAACTTCTCGTTTTCTCACTGCCTTTGTGTTTTGTAGGAACATTTGGGAGGGAGAAGAATCTCCCTCCCCAACTTTACCACGAAGAGGACCATTTATCGTACAAGTGAATATTTTCCGATGGTAAGAACTCTTTCGTTTCATTTTTTAACACACCTTATTCTCGTATCGTAATTGACTATTTTTCTGTTTATAGACATGCCGAAGATGTTCTTCGATCACACACATACACACACACGCACGGACACAACATCACTGTACACGAAGATATACACCGTTTAACCTTTACTCGAATTCTCGCACTCACGCACTTACACGTCAAGCGCCTCGTGCTGTGTAATTCCACACAATGAAACAACCCGAACACACGCTTCCAACAAATCCAACCCCTGGGTCCTCGTCCCGGGAAGTGGAAACGCCAATTTTAAAGATTAAAAGACTTTAAATTGGCGGCCGAAGGGGCTCTGGTAATCACATCTTGCATGGATTAAATGGAACTTCACACATTAGCATCAATAATCGTATTGTGATGAATTTTTCTGTTAAATCTCTGGAAATTTACTTATGGTAAGAAATTATCTGCGCTCTTATTTCAGTATCGCTAACTTTTACATAAAATCATTAATTAAAGATCTTGGTGCTCATCGTATATTTCATTACACTTGTAATATGGCAGCTGGTGATTTTTTTTTGTTTTGTTTTGTTTATGGAGGGCACGAATATGGAGGTTCGTTTTAATCTTACCCATGCTTGGTTTCTGAAGATCCACAATTTGGGCTGCCGGGCTGTCTTGACACATGAGGGTCGCTGATTGGCTAATCCAAGTGATTAGCCAATCAGCGACCGGCTTGTGAGAGACGAGAGACTGTGACCAGAATATGGCCCCAGATCTCAGAGAGGTAGACTGAAGTACCAACCGCTCAAACATCCGGCTGTCACCTTCTTATAGTGACACTTCCGTATAAACAGTTTCTTATAGACCAGAGTTTCTCAACGGGGGCGATATCGCCTCCATGTAGGCGTTTTTCCATGTTGGGGCGATTAGTAACAATTTATATTTTGGGGGGGGAAAACAATTTTCTGGGCGATATAGTAAAACATTATATTAAGAATAATTAGATATTTTATTCGTTATATCGTACAATAATTAAACAAATAACATTATACTAGTCACTAGTCTATTCAATGCAGTACGAATTTGGCGTTAAGCCTTGGTCCTGGGCATCAGAATTTTGAAGTGAAGGGGGCGATACTACGTAACGGTTTTATTGAAGGGAGCGACGATTTGTTAGAGGTTGAGAAACACTGTTATAGACATTTGCAGATAAATTGCTTTTAGTTGGCCTGCAATGTAACATATCTCTTACATAATATATTATTTCGGTGAGAAATTGCTATTCGTTGTATACCATTTTGTTCACGACGCATTTTGGATTTATTGCCAATTATTTGTAACACGACTGGCAGGCTGCCGGATTTCAACGAACTTGGGTAAAATTTATACATATAACACATAGGAAAGATTGATAGGAGGCAGAGAATGTCTCGCTTGGAACGAGTTTGTGCCGGTTCCTATAGGCGTGCATGCAAGTTTTAGAATACATTCGACAGTCAAACTAAGAGAATGACAAAGGAAATGTTTGCAAAGTTACGATCTAAAATTCATCTTCAACATTTTATAAATTTGTCTCTGAATCTGTTTGCTACTCATGCTTGAATAAATCAACTTCTGAAGTATATTTTTGTGAATTTTATTTATTTACAAATCTAAAGAAGTGTATTTTCAAATCAATTATCTATGTCTGCTTCAACAAGCAATAATCCTTAAGTTACAATTCAAGGAATAATCATTTTAACACTAGAAAGAATTGATTTACAACTGTTTGAGAAATACTACAATCAAAACTATTATTTCTACAACATTAATCTATTCAAATTATTAATTACATACCAAATCTATTTATTAAATAATGTATAAAGAATAACAACTTGTATTATTAATACAACACTTTTATATTTTCTTGGCTGTACATCTTTAAAATGTTTTTTATAAATTTAATATTGCATGTAATTTCAAATATTACAAGAACAAAAGAAATTTTAATTTCTATTATTTCAAATTGTTTAAAAATTTTTCTTAATTTTGTGATATTTTCAAAATAATTAGTCTATTGCTAACTTCAAATTCCATCTTTGAAGAGTTAATTTAATTCATTCTCTTCAATTTCACTATCAAATATATGCTATGACATTTTATCTAGTAGTCTATATATATTTACAATTGAAATTGAATAACTTCTTTTTTCAATTCTAAGATATAATGACACTTCCGTTTTTTATAAACAGTTCCGTATAAACAGTTCAACTGAACTGATTCTGAAATCAATCAAATTTTTAAGTAACAAAGAAAATACAAATAACATGAAATATTACCTAAATTAGTAACAGATAGTTAAATATAATCAATGTTGTGTTATGTAGAAGCTTTAGAGTTAAATGTGCTTATTTTAGCAGGCGCATCTATAAAAGTTTGCCAACTTTGATTTCAGTAAGGATGGGATTCAAACACGTAATCCTAAGCTATAGCAAACTATCATTCCATTTCCATCAAATAATAGATTTAAAAGCAAGAGGTCCTTATTTAGCTATGTATAAATTTAATCTGATTTAAGACCACAGACAACGACACTGTTCTATCGACTCATACAAAAAAAAAAATAATGTACTATACACCTAATTTTGTTTTATACGAACGATTTTAAACAAAATTTGTCAAATATGATCCTAATGAAAAACGAGCTTTAAAGTTACAACGTGACATGAAATCATTACTGTCGTCTTATAGAGAATTATAGTTCACTGCTTAGAAATGAAAAATAGTGCCTCAGCCGAAACAACTTGAAAGGTTAGAAATGTACAAAGCCTTCGGGAAAAGGACGGTAGTTCACTTCGCGGAGTCAGGCTAGAGAGCGTATAAAAAGTTATAAATGAAGGTTTCTTCCAATAGCGAGACTAGTGATAGATATCACATCTTTCTTAATTATGCATAATTAACAGAGATCGAGATTAAAACAGTTCTCTTTTTTTCGCCTATTTAACAATGCATTTCGGATTGGTAATTTTCTAATCCCTATTCGAGCTGACGGCTTCAGATCTAAAGTTGTTGTCTATAACATATATAACAAAAGATTAGTTCATCTTAATATACTTGTGTTATCCACAATTATGGATATAGTGCACAGTTCGTGCACATCCTAATAGTGTATCAGTCTCTTGCACTTACTGGCATGTTTTCTTTGTCTACTTTTCATGGGCAAATGCAACGCTTCTTCAGTGTCCCACAACTATTAACTCCTTATTACCTCCTAGAAGGATTTTAACTTCAATATTGCTGTTGGTAACGTGACAAAGATCAAAATGCGGTTTTTCATTGAAAATATTTTCACAAGTTGAAAAAAAAGTTTTCACAAACTATAACTACGAGCAATTATTGTGACATCGTGACAATTCCAGGCTGCAATTTGTAATCATATTTTTAAATCATTTAATTTAAAATATATGCTCTCCACCTCTAATTAGTAGTGGCTTGCCCCTGTACTGTACACAGGGCGGATCTAGGTTTATGTAAAAGTATTAATTCAATGAATTAAAGTTGTTATACTGTATATAAACATAATTACAAAATACGTAAGTTTAAAGACATACAGGTATACCTCGCCTTACGTCGGTAATTGGTTCCAGGAGAGGCGACGTAAGTCGAATTTACTTGTCACTATACTAAACCAGAAATAACCATTCTCAGTTTTGTATTTTATTTATAAATGAATTTTTAATAATATATGGTTAATAAGAATCTATTTTAAGCTTACAAACAAATAAATTTTAGTTTTTAATATAATACAGAAAAAGTAATCTAAATTTACGAATTCATGTACGTACAGTACTGTAAATACTTGTAAATGTGCATGTTAACAATTTGGCGATGTTTACAGTATTTGAAAATGTGGTTTGCTCTAAAACATTATAAAATAAGATGATTTTGTAAGGTTAAATAACAAATACAGTTATTAAAATTATTTTCGATAGTAGAAAAAACTAATTTATGTTAAATTTACCAAAATCGAGTGGCACTGACAACGACGCCAAACAGTAGATATTGAAACTACCATGAAAAATGCCAATATTGAGCTCTTAAAGACCGCTAAATAAGATGACAACACAGAGCCACAGATGTTTTCATATTTCATTCTCTATGATTTATGATAATTATATTAACACTAGCAGTTACCCGCGACTTCGCCCGCGGAGGTTTTGCAAGCAAACCCCATTTATATTCCGTATTTCAACAACCATAGTAATTGTTATATAACACCTACCGCTGAGAATGATGAGAATTGCTCAAAATGAAACGAACTATTTTCAAGTTGATCAATTTTCTGGAACGTTTACAATCGTTCTATAATCGAACCAATACGCAATAACAAATTCGAATTTAAAACGGTTCGAACATTTGGTTAAGAAATCGAAATATATAAAAACACTAGCTGTTACCCGCAACTTCGTCCGCGGAGGTTTTGCAAGCAAACCCCATTTACATTCAATATTTCAATAACCATAGTAATTGTCATATAACACCTACCGCTGAAGAGAATTGCCGAGAATCAAACGAACTATTTTCAATTTAATCAATTTTCTGGAACGTTTACAATCGTTCTATAATCGAACCAATACGCAATAACAAATTCGAATTTAAAACGGTTCGAACATTT